CGATCTACCATGTTCTTGGTGCCAGCCCGCCTGTATATTGTGAAAACATGTTAAATTTCTAGATTGTTGAATTTTTTTTTCCTTCCATGCACATTCAGTGATGTAATTTTAGGATATATACATGGGCTTTCGTTGAAAGATCAAGTCTGAATTTGAAGAAAGAACAATTAAACACATACCTATACACAACAATCATCCTATCAAAAGCAGGCTCTTGTATCCTAATCTTGCCAAACAAATTTTGCATGCTTTATGAGCACGCACATATAAAACAAATGAAAAAATATATAAAAACATCAGTCTTCAAACATGGAACTGAATAGAAAAAGAAACAGAATATAGACAAAAATTGAGACCTCAATTCCATGTTTTCAATCCGAATACATTCGACATACAAATCCTCTTCTGAGTCAGGATTAGTTTTGTCTGTTTTTTTGGAATAACTCTTTGTTGTTCTGCTTAATCTTCTGAAAAAGAGAATTTGTAGCCTGCAACCATTTTCAACAGTAATACCATTTGTTAATTGAATAAGAGAACTATAAAGAAACAACAATGATCAAATACCTTGTCTTCTTCAGGAACCACAACCATATACGAGAAATGATCATATCCAGTTTCTCCATTATAAAGTAATCAGTTGTTTGATCTACTCCAATGCCCCGACGAAAAATTACATACTTGTAAGTTGTAACAAACGGTAAACCATGTTAGGATGTGATAAGAAAGACATATACAAGTCTTTCAATGGATACAAGTTCACACTAATTGTAACAGATGAGTCCAGGAATACCTACAGTCGCATTTCATATATTAACAAAAATATATAATGAGACATTTAAAGCATATACTTCTTGACCAACAAGACAAATCACGGGAAGAAGTGCTCAGGAATATTAACTAATAAATACATCTTTTTCCGAAACCATTCTAATATCTCAAGGAACTCTATCATAAGTTTATTACCTTATCTGAAAATTCAGGAAGGTTCTCATGAGGATGATCATTAAAATATCTTGATAAAAGTCTTTTGTCAAGCTGCATTTGAACATTTTGAAATAGGTTGGTGAACAGAACTGTAATATGTGATGCAAAACGAATTGAATATAGATGAACAGAATTGTACTTTTCTTTTTGGAAGTAGCATTTGCACTAACCTTGGACTCATCAACTTTGATAGGGAGGTTCAATAAGTACTGTCCACAATGTGCAACATCAATCTCCTCATCAGTCACTATTTTAAAGTTGCTCTGTTCCATTACCTGCATTGCACAAAAGAATGGTAATAGAGTGCCTTTAAAGCATGTAGAACAAAAGCCATGATTGTCTAAGAATTGTGATAAAATTTTGAAGACTTCAAGTTGTAAATGAGTTCATTACTCATAACCCAATATTCATAGTTTACCAGGATGATCCGCAATCACTTCAATTCTCCATTTCTTGTATGTAGGAGAAGTAAAACCCAATTTCTATTTGAAAGCATAAAGGAAGATAGGAATAGGTTTGTTTTTACACCAACTTAAGAAACTGCATATCCTATACAAAGTTTGTTTGCATAAGTGCAACAGATCCTCAAGAAAAAAGTTTATAGGCACAAGTATTTTTTATGACGAGGACCATTCCCAAAATATTTCAAGGGCTGAGTTCATGTGTTATCATCTTCAAGTTAAAAGAAACAATCCAACCACCACCGGAAACTATAGCTGAGAGGAAATAATCCCCCTTGTAGCACCAATAACATATTTATAAATCAACATCAAATATCTGAAACATTTTATACGAATGCTAATTACTTATTTTTGACATTATGTATGGCAAGTTTAACACTTTGAAATGATCAGAACTGAAATTCATAAAGATATCACAAGTTGTATAATCCATTCAAGTGATATTTTTTTATAACTTATGTATCTTGACTTGATCACCAATCATGGAAGTGGTTCTCACTCTAACATTAAATTTCAGTATTTAAAACTTGAGGAACAGCTATAAAGATAATAGGACAGAAACAATAACTCACCTGAAAGAAGTACAACAAGAAATTCTATTCCAGAACATCAATCTCTTCGGGAGATAAGTTTTGCTGATCCAATTTGTGAGCACCATGAACAGGATCAAATAGAGAATATAATTGCTGAAAATATAAAAACAACTTTAATAACAATGAAATACCTTTATCTAACATGAAGAAACTTCAGTTAACATTATCGAATGAAGCATGAAGAGTAGTGCAACTATAGGACATCCAAAAGCAGTGTCATGCATGTGCTAACAATTTTCTTAGGGCACAAGTGGGTAACCAAAAAGAAAATTGCAAATGCATACCATTAGATCTTCAAACTGGAGAAGGTACCATGCTCTAATAGTATATTCAACTCTCTTACAGAGCTTTAAAAATTCTGCCCTATCATAATCATGCTCTGCAATAGAAAAAGTAAATATGAAAAAGCAGAAGAGTCCCCAGTTGAGATGTTCCTAGAAGAGAAAATCTCAAAAATAAACAAAGAAAATGAATTAGACTACAGCATGATAAGGAATGAACAAATTGGTAAACCATGTTTTTCACATGGATCCACATGAATGAGGCAAGAAACGAAGAGTTCACAAAACCCAGCTGCAGGCTTGAAGCTCTCCCACCAAGCAGTTAAGCGCGTTTTTTCCCCTCAATGCAGACAAATCATATCAACCATCAAAGAGAAGAAGAAAAAAAAGAATATACTATATATTTGCAGAAACTTTAGGAACAATATCCGTCTAAAATGTCAGATGAGGGTATGAAAAAGAGAAAAAAGAAAGGACCAAGGATTATGAAGAAGAGGTAGGTGGGCACCGACGAGGACGGCAAGCTTCATGACGAGCTTAGGCTTGAGGATGGGGATGACGGACTCGCGCTCCAGCCGGATCACGTCCTTGCTGCCGCCCATCCTCCTCCTCTGGACTATGCCCCCGCCAGCTTCCATGTGGTCCACAGAGGTCGGTGGGGAAGAATACCTCTGTTATTAGCTACTAGGGTTTTGGATGTTGGGGGAATCCAAAGAGGAAGCAACGTAACAGTAATTTTGGCTGCGTCGGCGGTTACCGTTTCGGTCATTCTTCCGTCGAAGGCAGCGAGCGAGTCGGACCACCATTTCTCCGGACTCAATTGCTCATGTCGGTGTTTCATGTAACCAATATCTTGAAAACTTAATCAGAGAAATGGAATATTTATCTCACATAATTTTTATATTATAATATATATATATATATATATATATTGAAAATTAATCTGAGAAATGAAATATTTATCTCACATAATTTTTAAAATATAATATTTTAATAATAAAAAAGTCGTGTGAATATTATCTCATGAAAATAAGGTGACAAAAGTAAAGTTTTCCAAATGCATAGTTCCCACGTTTTCTTTGAAACTGTAAAATTTCGTCATAATATTCACCGAAAGTGAAGTTTTCATAAGATTTGCTCCACATCATTTAAAAAAATAAAATTTCATAACATACCAAACTATTTTAGCACTACAAAATATGAATATTATTTCATAAAAAGTATAATAATAATAAATAAATTATCGACTAAGCACGATATTTTAATCGGATGTGGAGGGTTCAGAAGATCTTCTTCACCCTATTTTGACATGGTACAACATTTTAGCTTTAGAAACTCATATGACTGTTGATTTATGAAAAACATGATAGACAAAATTTATCCAAACTAAAAAATTCATGCGATGTTCTTCGTACCACTTTAAAGTTATAAAATTTCAATATAGCATAACATTTTTTAGCATTAAAAAAAATTATATGAATGTTATTCCATGAAAAATTATGATGATTATACAATTTATTAAAAGTGAAAGGTTCATAAAATTATAAAATTTATTTTATGTTAAAATAGGTGGTTGTAAAAATTATCGAAAGTGGAATGTTCGTATGATTTTCTTGGCACCATTTGAAAAGAAGTACAATTGTCATAAAATTTGTTTAAAATGGAAGAATATGACATTTCAAAAACATAATTTTGACTTAATATAATATTTTAGAACTAGAAAAATTATATGAATATTATTTCATGAGAGAATATGATAGTAATAAAATTTATCAAAAGTGAAAGATTAGCAGGATCTTCTTTCCACTGTTTTAAAAACATATATTTGACTTAGTACTATTTTAGCACTAGAATAATTGTCTGAATTTTCTTTTGGCGAAAAAACATGACAACCTTTGAATTTGATGAACATGAATGGTTCACATGATTTTCTATATACCAGTTTTTAAAAACATAAATTTTTGATAAATTTTAATTATTTAATTCAAGGACCTTCCTATCATTTTGCATTACTAAATAACATTTTTAATCCTCCATCTTTAGTAAATCAAATAATACACACAAGGATAATGTTTTATAGTGAACTGATCATCGAAGCCCATATTTGAACCCAACTGATTTGGTCGATCAAATTTTGACGATTCATCTTCAAATCAAGTCTTATCTTCATCATTTATTTTTTTTTATAAAAATAAATATTTTTTTTAAAAAATATAGTAACATAGATCTTAGCATCAAATCTTATTTTCATGAGGAATCCTTTGCGAAAAGATTAAAATTGTAAAACGTATTGATGTATGAAGTGATCAATTGGATTTTGTTAGACAAATTATACATTGGTAATTTAAGCCTTTCCTATCTTCTAAATTAAAAAAAAATGAAAATAAAAATTGGGCGTTAGTGTATATCTTCGTTGGAAAGTCTGCCGTCCTGTGAAAAGAGGTACTATTAGCGACTGATGTTTAGACCCCAAATATCTGGAAGCTTCGTTGCACTCGCAACAACTATGCCACGTAGGGAGAAGACGCAACCACTGCGCACTAAAGGACACGCAGCAGTCTTACAACGAAATGAAGACACGATGGGCTTTGATTGGGTCTTCCCGACTCGTTTCCATGGGCTCGTTAGGCCACACGCGGCGAGGACGGTTGGAATGCGGTGACTTTTGGACATCAGAAGAAAACCACGATTCCCGTCGGACTTTTTCCGTTGCGATTGCGGTCCTCGCACGTACTCGCGTTTCTGCTGCCCTGCTCCTGCGTCTGAACAAGGTGGGCATTTAAGCAGCAGCAGTCGGTCTGCAGAGCATTCAAGGCGCACCAGAGCTTCGGCAGGTAGTCTACTGCTACGATCAACCCGCCCCACCTTTGGCTTTTCCTCGCATTGACGCTTCCACCCACCCCCGCCTTCGGTTTTACTTCTCATCGCTCCTCTGTTGAGATCTCGGGAGAGGAACATGGAGCCGGAGGGCGAGGGTCGCCTGCCAAGCCGTGGTGACGGTACCGGAAGCGGTGATACCGAAGAGAAGAAGGTGGCTCTGATGAGGATCTTCGTCGAGGGAAAAGATCCAGCTGCCAAGGTTCATCTTCCTCTGTTTCTGTTAATTTGCTTGGATATAGCTGGATGCGTTTATAGCTCTTAATTTTCTTGCTGAGCTTTCAATTCTGAGCGGCAGAGACTCTAAAAAGGTGGAAGAAAGAACAAAAGTAAGCAGAGTAACAGAGAATTCGGAGTGGTATTCCGGGAAAGATGAAAATACTCGCAACCAAACGAAAACTAGGATCCAAGAGAGTCTAACCTAATTTATACCGGTAAGATCTTGCATATGGAACTTATGTCCATCTTGTTACTGGTTCAGAATGAGAAGATTCAGATAGTGCCTAAGGGTAGGAATGAAATAGCTTGAGAGAGTCAGACGCCGAAGGGTCTCTCACCGTCACGTTATGGCTGCAATTTTTTTTTTCGCAAATGAGATTCAATCCCAGGAATTTAAAATGACCTGACATATTGTGTCTCCGGCTACACTAGTTAGCACCTTCACTATATGCCTCCAATTTACTGAATTGTGTCCACACCCTCTTGCAAGTGTCTCCTGCAGGTGCAAATTTTGAAGTGCACGGTGCAGTAGAATGACTACCCATGTTTTTGTTAGATGTGTAAGTTTACACCACATTATTGATTGAATGTTATTCATTTTAGACCATAAATTGTAAGCTGAGGTAGCTTTATGGTAGGTACATCAAGCAAAAATCGTGACTGCTTGTCTTCCCAACTTTCCAAAGACCAGTGCTTTTTATATGCCCATAATCACCAGTAGATGAAGCAGCAGCTCATATAACGGGAAATTAGGATGATGGTGGTGAAAGAGCATAACCAATTTAACTAAGAGTGAGGAGTCCGTGTTGCATTTATGAGTGTCTCCAATGTTTTCAAGTTTCTGCAGGGCCAAATTATGCAGGAACATAACGTGAAACGTACCACACTCTAAATTAATTTTACTTCTTGGATGTTTCATTGAACTCAAGTAAGCCTACTTGATACTTTTTTTACTTGCCTGCGTTTTTGAGTGGTTTCTCTTTCAATTCATTGTGTTTCATTCACATGGTGGATTTAAACTCTTCCTTCCCTCACCTTGGATTCCTGTGAGAATACGTTCACGGATGTCACACATCGTCATTCAAATCAACTCCTTTTGGGAGTGGGGTGGATGGGTGTATTTTTGTGTCCTCTCTTTTTTGTTTTGAGCATTCCTCAGAGTGCTATAGTTATTACATCCATTTTTGCTCTTAGTTTATATCTTTCTACATTGATGACAGTGCACATTTAGATGGTCCAAACAGATACTCTGCAGAGTTCTATACTTACTAGTTTTCTCTTAGTTTACATCTTGCTACAATGATGACACTGCACATTTAGATGGTACTTCACATTCCAGACTCAGCACATGAACCTTGGCAATGTTTGTCCTTTGTTGTTGGCATTGTAGATGCATCTTCGCCAGTCATTACCAATTACTTTTTTTTTTCTCTTTATTGTTAGCAAAAGGGAGAATCAATCCCCTTTTCATTTCACTAGAACTGAAAAAAATATGAACTGGAAATATATGTGAGACTGAGTGAGAGAGAGAGAGAGTACCAACTTGATGCTCTGTCCTACCATAAGCTTCCACAAACCTGTTCCAAACAATAGTTAACTGTATGTCTATTTTTTCCCTTGGACAACCAGTTTGTGTATTCATCAGGTGGTTTCTTGATTAAATGGTACTAAAGGGTATACCATACCATACCATACAATAGTTAAATGCTGTCCCCCTTTTACCACAAGCTATCGCAAAAGTAGATTCTTTACTTCTCGGCATGCATACCACCAATAAACATAGATGTGCTCGTGAATTTGTTAATCCAATTCTTTATTCTTCTAGGAAAATCCAAATCAGTTACTATTTTAGCAACGAAAGGGCCAAACTACAGATTATATACCTTTCATATGTTAACATATATCATGCATCTAGAAGTATACCTTTCCTGCAAAAACTTCCTGGCATCTCACGTGCAAGTATCTGAAATCCATGTATTTGGGAATTGGAACAAATGCTAATTATTCTTCGGTTATAATCATCCCTGTAACCCTCCTTTCTCCATTTCCATGATTTTTTTATGAAAAGAAAAATAACTTCTATTATTTCAAAAGCCTATTACAACCAGCACCTTGCTGGTCCAAAATAAGTAAAGAGCATAGGCCTTCTGCCTGTGCTATCTCCATTGCCATAATTATAATAATAGTATTGTATAAGATGTGACCATCCTTTTTTCATCGCTCTTAGTTTATGTAATCGTAAATTTTTTTCATTTCGATATAGAACCATTCTATTGGATGTTGTGCTGCTTATTTAGATGTTATACATGATGCTTTATTATTTTTACATTTTCCCTTGGTTATTGGATTCCATTCTTTTTCTTTTGCCCAACACTTATTTACTTTCATATGGTGCTGGTGATTAATAAAGCAACTGGGAGTGCCAAATGCAGGAGGTAGACAACTTTATGCTCAGAAGGTTCTTGCGTGCACGTGACCTGGACATTGAGAAGGCTTCTTTTTTATTTCTAAAATATCTTAAGTGGAGGAGAACAGCAGTTCCTAATGGATTCATTTCAGAGGCAGAGATCAGGAATGACCTTTCTCTGAAGAAGGTGTTCATGCAGGGATTTGATAAGACTGGCCAGCCTATAGTAGTTGCTTTTGGTGCTAAACACTACCACTCTAAGCGAAACATGAATGAGTTTAGTAGTAAGTGTCACTTGATATGAATAGCAGTCAATAAATAGCACAATTATCTGTTTGTCTTATCACCAAATAATTGTCACTTATTAAAGACACAAAGTATGAGTTGAAGCATAACAAAACCCTGTTACTAACATTGTGGATGAAATTTCAGGTTTTGTCATATATGTTCTTGACAGAATATGTGCCAGGTAACTATAAACAATGTGCTGTTAGTAAGAAAGTTTATTTTTCATTTCACGTGATTCTATTTTAACTATCTCAATTCTGAACCATAATGTAAAGACAATGAATTGACAAATATTTTAATTGTTTGAAGCATGATTAAGTACTCATAGACGTTCTTTGATGCTATAGATGTGCTTTTATCTAAACCTTGACGTGCTTGCAGAATGCCTACAGGTCAGGAGAAGTTCACTTGCATTGGTGATCTTAAAGGTTGGGGATTATCAAACTGTGACATTAGGGCATGCATCGCAGCTCTAGACATTATGCAGGTTTGTCCTATGAAGCAAATTATTGACCAAAGTAACTAGGAAAACTATTCAGATTAAGGATTTACTTGATAACCTTGAACACAGTGATATTTCTTTTTTACTTCATAAGATAGCGTAAGAGTTGCCAAACTATTTGTCATTCCTCATGCCAACTAGATACATTAGTATCTAATGGAAGGAGCATCAAGATTTAAATTGGACATCAAGGTTTCTTTAGGATCATTATATGGATGATTATATAGATGATATCTTTCAAATTCCTTTCTGGCCCCCAAGGCTATCACCGAGAATACTTTGTATGATTCCCACTTCTCTGTTGTAACCAGGACCCTAGATATTAAAGATAGACATCTCTTCTTTCTCCTATTTCACTCTTTTGTCTTTCTCCTAGTATGAAGAATAAGAGTGAATAGAACGAATATCTTCTGAGGAAGGATAAGAAAGAATTCAGTGACTTTCTTGAAAAAAGAGTAACCTAAGACCATTCTGAAGTATCAGTGAAATCATCGATCAAATAGAACCTTTGTTAAATGATAGGAGGATCTTGACATCAATAATGGGAAAGGATTAGTTAAGTTCATACGTAGAGGTATATGTCAAAAGTATGGTATGCAATACATTCAGATATATTTGATATCCAGAGTTTAGTGAAAGCGTGAACAACCAAATTGTAATCAACATTTGTATGTAAAAATTTTGACATAAATATATAAATGTAGACCATAAGGTTTTATCATAGAAGAAATGAGAGAAAATAGGATGATCACTTCGAGGAGATCGACCTCTTAAGGTTTGTCAGAAGACTGAAATAATATTTCATTGATTGTCTAAAAGAAACGAAAACATCCCTTTTTATAGAGTTCCATCTAAAGTCCACCAGGACTTGGACTCTTAATAAATAAATAAATATCAAATAAATCTCTATCTGACTCTTAGACCAACTCAATAAAATATTTATTCAAAGCTCATAAAATAAAGGCATCCTAACAATTCCTCCCCCTTCAAATCAATCTTGTTCTCAAGGCTGAACAACATCAAACTCGGGGAGCTTCTCTTTCAATACTTCAATCATAATGTATCTACGATGCATCACAACCCGTTAATCAAGTAAGTACGGGCTCCACTTTTTGATAGTGTAAGTAATATGTCAGCCTTTTAGTATAGTAATCGTTGTAGTTTTCTAAAGAACCATCTCCATCTAATGGCTAGTGGCAGTTGTGACCTTACTTCCACATCTTCCCCTTAGGATCATTTGCTTTCCATTAATAAAAAAAACTCAAGATTAGTTTAGAAAAATTCTAAAAAACATCACCCAGGGTCGATAGCCATTCAATTCTAAGCACCACTTCAAAATCTTCTAAGGATAGCAAAAAAAAGTCCATAAGCAACTCTTGGCCCTGTATAATCAAGTTTATCTTTGAATATTTGCCATCACAAGTTAAAATACATCCATTAATAATTTTTACTTCGAATTTGTCATAATCTTCAATGTGGTAGGCCAATCTGTCGGGAACTTTACTATCCATAAAATTATTAGTACTACCAGTATCAATCAAAATTATAACATACTGATGTTCCAAAGTTCCTCCAACTTTCATAGTTTGCGGGTCAGAATAGCTCGCTAATGTATGTACTGTATGTATAATAAGTCTAACATCTTCATCAAAATCTATACCTTCATGATCGGAGTCCATGTTGTTAGCTTCTGGTTCCTTCCTAATTTGTTCAATCATTAGAAGTTGCCCTTGTTTACATTAGTGCTCCTTACTCCACTTTTCATCATAATGCCAGCATAAACCCTTCGCTGATCTTTTCTTGAGTTCTTCTCGGGTTAGTCTTCGGGTGTTCAGGCTTCAGTTGGGAATAGATGGGGCAGGTGTTAGAACCCTTGCAGATTCTAAACTTGGGGTTGATCTCTTTAGGGGATCGGCCTCCTTGGAACTCTATAGGGGTTTCTCCTTCCAAGTTGCTGCTCAAAGGCTGCAGAAAAGATTCATCTATTGCTTATTAAAAAAGAGAAGGAATACATGGCTATTTATAGGGCTTCTAAACCCTAACTCCTAATAGAACTCCTACTTAAAACTCTTACTTCTAACCAATTCCTAATAGGACTCCTACTCAAGACTTCTATTCCCTTACAACTCCTAATTCTTCTATAAGAAAAAACCTCCTACATGAATGCCCCTCTCAATTAGGACTCTCCTAGCTAGAGTCCTAACAGAATGTCCCTCTCAATTAGGACTCTCCTAGCTAGAGTCCTAACAGTTTTACATGAATGTCCCTCTCAATTAGGACTCTCCAAGCTAGAGTCCTAACAGACCCGTCCTCTTCAAATCAGCCTTGTCCTCGAGGTTGATGATTCGTGAATTCTGGGAATTTAATATTCAAGTCGTCATAGTTCTCCCAAGTGGCATCTTCTATTGGTAGGTTCGCCCACTGTATTAGCACTTCATTAGTGGGTCATCGTCGTCGAGTCACGATCCGTCGATCAATAGTGGCACTTGGCTGGGTCTGGAGTTCTCTTTGGGTAGTCATATTTGGTGGGTGGCTTTGGGCTGTCTCCAAGCACCTATTTAAAACTTTCGTCTGGCTGTTGGTTTGTGGGTGATATGTCGTACTCCTTTTCAATTTAGTACCCTGCATATGGAATAACTTTGTCCAAAATTTGCTCTTGAAAATGCAAGTAGAATTTGTCACAAGCACAATGCGTCCCTTATAGCATAATTCTTTTGAGTCCCGATTGTAATGAGCCACGGAGCTTGGTGCTTCCTCTAATTTTTTTTTTTTTACCTGACTGGTCTCCGAATCTTCCTGTCATTCCATCTTAATATCCTCAAGGAAGTCGTTGGTTGGAAGTAAAACGACCGAAAATTCAGCTTGCTCAAGTAGCTGCGAAAGCGCATCTGCAACAACATTCTCTTTCCACCTTTTGTAAGTTATTTCATAATCAAATCCAAGAAGTTTTGTTACCCATTTTTGCTGCTCAGGGGATAATATCTTTCGCTCCAAAAAGTACTTGAGGCCAGGGTTTGCCGTACCGATCCGTACCGCCTGGTACGGGCGGTACGTACCGGTCCGACAGGTTTTCGGTACGCGGACCGACTATTACCGGTCCGAGCACTGTAGCAGTTACTGCTACAGTAACTGTAGTACTGTAGCATTGCTACAGTACTCGGTACACCCAGGTGTACCGCTCGGTACACCTGGGTATACCGCTCGGTATACAGTACCGTACCGGTACCGAGCCCAGGTCGAAATACCGGTATGGTACGGTATTGCGAACCTTGCTTGAGGCTTTTATGGTCGGTTTTAATTTGAAATCGTCGACCAATCAAGTAGGGTCTCCACCTCGTTGCTGCACGCACAATAGCGAGCATCTCCTTATCATATGTTGACTTATTTTGATGGGAGGGAGATAATGCCTTGCTAGTGTATACGAGTGGTCGACCATCTTGCATGAGAATGACTCCAGATGCGTTGGCCTCAATAACGAAGGGTTGGTTGAAATCTGGTAGTGTTAGCGCCGGCGTCGTCGTTATGGCTGCCTTAAGTTTGTCGAAGGCAGTGGAGGCTCTGTCCGACCATTGGAAGACATCTTTTTCCAGTAAGGAAGTAAATGGTGCACTGATCTTTCCATAGTTTTTCACAAACTTACGGTAGTAGCCTGTTAAACCCAAAAAGCCATGTAGCAATTTTATATTCCTCGGGGTAAGCCAGTTTTGCATTGCTTCAATTTTGAAGGGGTCCACCGTCACACCTTCCTCTGATATGATATGCCCAAGATATTTCACCTTTTGTTGAAGAAAGTAAAAATTCGTAGTGGCCGTTGTGTGTTCGAAAGGCGGTTTTCGGTATGACTTCTTCATACACTCGTATTTGATAATACCCGGATCGAAGGTCCGGCTTTGCGAAGATTTATGCTCCCTTTCATCTAGCAATTCATCTGCTATTGGAATAAGGTATTTGTTCTTGATGGTTATGCCATTGAGAGCTCGATAATCAATGCATATTCGCCATGTTCCGTCCTTCTTGCGTACAAGTAGCACCGGTGAAGAGTAGAGGTTGCAACTTGGCCGAATAACTCCTGTTTCGAGCATCTCTTTTACAATCCTTTCTCTTTTATCCTTCTGGAGATGTAGATACTGATATGGCCGAGTATTTGCTAGAGGTTTGCCTGAAAGAATCGTTATATAATGATCATGCTGACTGGTAAGAGATAGGTTGTACGGTTTGTCAAATATATCTGAAAATTCAGCAAGCAAAGGAAGTAGGTTTGGATCTTCAAATTCTATTGGCTCTCCCTTAGTTTGCTGCTCAAGTTGTACCAAAAGGCCGCTGCATACTTTATGCAAAACCTTCTTCATTTGTTGTGTGCAAATCGTCGTTATGTCGCCCTCACGTTTCCCGTTCAGTATCACTTGTTTCTCCTTACTATAAAATTTCATAATTAGTTGCATAAAATTCCAAGAAATATCACCTAATGTCGTCAACCATTTAATTATGAGCATGGCCTCATGATCATCAAGAGGGGGAAGGAAGAAATCTGCAATTATCTCTTGGTCCTGCAGCAATAGTTTCTCCTGCGGGCGCCTACGATCACAATTCAAAATCCGTCCGTCGACGACCTTAACGTCAAACCTGCTGCAATTCTCAATAGGTAAGGCTATATGGATAGTAACCTTACTATTTAGAAAGTTATTAGAACTGCCCGTGTCGATGAGAACAGTGATCGGTTGTTGTTTGAGAAGGCCTCCAACTTTCATCGTTTGCGGGTTTGAGTAGCCGGCTAGTGCATGTACCGTAACTTCAGTCGGTTGTGGCTCTTCTTCTGCATCTTCTTATTCATGTTCAAGGCTCTCTTCTGGATATACAATGACCTCTTCTTCTATTGGTTCAATCATAAGAAGTCTCCCTTTACTACAGCGATGCTCACGGCTCCACGGCTCGTCACAATGCCAACATAACCCCTTCGCATATCGCTCCCAAAGCTCTTCTCTTGT